CATACCTTTTTTTTTTTTTTTACTATTTCTTTGTTGACAATGTTTTGGGACATAGTATAAGTACGTACCTCAAGAAATTTTTCAAATACTGTAGGTATTTATATGTTGGCTGCTCGTACCCATTGCATTCTTTAATACAATTCGTCCTCGACGCTGAGCTAAGATGGATATAGGATTTGAAGTTAGTATAATATTATATTCACTATTTCTTTGTTGACAATGGGTTCAGAATTATTATGATTTATACTGTAAGGAATTTCAACTGCATATGTATCGCTAGGCTGCCTGCACCGATTGCATTATAAATACATCCATCTGTGCAACTGGGTTGGAAGTCCTCTAATGTAAATGTGCTATTTTGTAGTTACGCGCTTTATAGCTAAGGGTGATTTTGTGAGAACTGAGAAGGTCCATGTATTTGGAGTAGCTTTTGCTTAATCCCTCTGGTTCAATCTGTTAGCTGGTGTTTGACTGGGTATGAAGTTTAAAATATGCATTTTGAGATAGTGGAAGAAAGTGGTAAAGTAATGGTCGAAAAGTAGGTTAGTAGAGAAAATGTTAATCAAAGTATAAATTTGAGTAACTTAATGGATTTGAATATAACTTGAAACAGATACATTAAATTTTTCTTTGTAATAAACAAGCAGGATCATCACAAAGTCATCTATACGAAAAAGTGTGATATCTTCAAGGTAGTTTTTCCTAATTAGGCAAGTTTTGTTACAATTTTAATTTTATACCCTTTCTATTGCGTGACAAAGTAGTCATGGGTTCAACAGTGGAAACGGTCTCTAGCAGAAATGCAAGGTAAGACTGCGCACAATAGACTCAATGTGGCCCTACCCTTTCCTAGACTCACGCATAACTAGAGCTCAGTGCAGCAGGCTGCCGTTTATTGCATATTGAAATGACGACGAATCAATCAGCGTAATTTCATACCCATGGCTACTCTCCATGTAGTTCATATGTGAGTGGCTTTTAGTTCTGAAGAAATTTTGACAACAAGAGCACACGCCTAGATGAGACTGAAGAGAGAGGAATGGAGATTGGCGATTTATATAATCGACCCTAAATATTTTTGGATTGAGGTGTAGTTGGTTGATCTTGGCTCGAAGGAGAAATCACAGCAAATAGGATGAAGTGGTCCAAGTATAAACATATTTTAGAAGAAAATCATAAAATCTAATATTAAGCATAATGGAACTCGATGCCTTGCCATCTCCTAGTATCTCTATTTTTCATCAACTCCCTTATATTTTAAGTGCCTTATTGCGTGCATTTACATGCATCGTATCAATTGCATCTTCATACCTTATACTGAAGATAAGCGAGATGAAAAAATGTACAATTTCTAAATGCAGAAAGTTAGACATATGTGCTTTGTGGAAATAATGATTACCTCATAGAATCGGAAAAATGAACTGTGAGTCACTTATGGAGTGGTAATTCTGACAAGTGTTTACTAGGAAAAAACTGGACACAAGACCTGGTAATCTTGGTCCCAATTGCACACAGTAATCTTTTTTCAAAAAATTCAGATTATGCATTTGGTTACATACCCATCAGGAAAATTAAATTCAGTTTATGCACTTGGTTACATACCCATCAGGAAAATTAAGGTTGTAGTTGTTAGACTAGTACATGAAGCTAGTTTGACTTTTTTTTTTTTTTTTAAAATAAATTTCTTCATACATCTTTATTTATATTAGGTAAACGTTGGCAAGATTATCTGGTTCAGATGTGTGGAATGGAAGTTGCATTATTGTTGAAAATATCTTTGTGTCCATTTATTGTGATCACAAAATCAGGTTGATTTGACAGAGGGGCGATATCTGTTATCCTCTGCTTCGGATGCATCAGTTGCTGTTTATGACGTCCAACGTGCAACTGATTATGACGGAAGTGGTCTGATTGCAAAGCATAAGCCCATAGTTGTGGTTGACAAGCAACACGAACAGGGGCACAAGTATGCCATTTCCACAGCCATCTGGTATCCAATTGACACTGGGCTTTTCATCACGGGCTCATATGATCATTACATTAATGTTTGGGATACTAACACTACTCAGGTATCATAGCTTTCTGATCATCCTATCATACTCCACCAAAGTGCAGATTTTCAGCTTGTTCTTTTCTTCTATTGAATAAATTTCTAGCCGAAATTTGAATTTCTTTATTTATTTTAAGGTGGCAGTTAATTTCAAAATGCCTGGAAAAGTGCACAAGACTGCCATGTCTCCCGTGGCAACCTCACACATGTTGATTGCTGCTGGAACTGAAGATGTTCAAGTTCGTCTCTGTGATATTTCTTCGGGTGCATTTGCTCACACTTTATCTGGCCATCGTGGTATGGCGATATCTATTTCAGGCATTAATAAAGTATTTCCCTTTGCAATTCTTTACCTTTTACATCTTCGAAACAAGGTGTTATCCAGTGAGAAGCTTTTCCTGAAATCTCTATGTCATGAGGTTTTGCTAGTTTTCCTTGCCCCAAAAAATAAATTCTAGGTTCTCTTCCTTTGAGCACGGAGACACGGGATTGACTTTTGACAAGTGGAAAGCATCTCTTTTTTCATCAATGCTTAGACTGAGGCTTAGACCAATCACAGTCTGTCTCCATTATCGGCTCTTAGGCAGAGTCACATGCCATTCTGTGTGATAAAGGTAACACTTTAGCAATTTAACAGTTCCTGGCCTAGTGCATCCACATAGAAGCTCTGTGCCATACTCCATTTCCACCTCGCAAGACAGGCTAGGGTGATGTGATTTTCTTTTATTAGCTTTAAACCAGCTTTAATGTGCCATACTCATTTCCACCTCGCAAGACAGGCTAGGGTGATGTGGTTTTCTTTTATTAGCTTAAACCAGCTTTACACTAAATTACTGCTAAAGAATGGAAGTTGAAGTCTTTTCTGTAATAATTGTGTTTGAATTTATTTATTTATTGATGATAAATGGGGCCTCTTTACTATGTCTGGAAATGATAAAGCAATTGGGAGCTAGAGTGTAGATGCAATAACAAGAAGAACAATCAACATTATCTTTTATTCAAAAGCTAATCATCCTTCATCCTGTGCTATTTGTGTAACTATCAGGGCAAGTGCAACGCTCCGACACAGGACAGAATGCCAGACAATTATGCTTAGCATCCTGTTGTAGTATGTTTTTACGAGTGCCTTTAGGAAAACGTTGACAATGTTGATTCTATTTTATTAGAAATATATTTATAGATAATACATGCTTGAATATTGGAGTGTAACCAACTAGTACTTTGTCGTAACTATACAAACCCAGGCAATAACTAGGGGTGGCAATTTGAGCCCAATTCCGCCCAAGCCGCCCAGAGATGGTTGGGCTACAAACATTTTAGCTCATGGGTCTATTTGGGCTGAGCCCAAATTAACCCATTATTTGTTATAGCCCATTCTGACCCATTAAGCAGCCCAAATACAACCCATAAAACTCACCCAAAACAAAGAGATCTCAACCCAACTTATCTAAAAATTTACTTAGTTGCCCCAATTTTACTTTTTATTTTTATTTTTTTTGTATTTTCAGTTTTCAGTTTTTTTTTTTGTTTTTCTGCACTACCCCCTCCCCCCGCTAACCCCCTCAATTTTTTTTTGTATTTTCATTTTTTTTTTTTTGGGTTTTCTGCACCACATCTCTTCAAAAAAAATTTACTTTTTTTTTTTAATTTTCTGTTTTTTTTTTTGGTTTTTCTGCACCACCCACAACCACCTCCACCCGCAAAATATTTTTCAACTTACACATTTTAAGTTAAAAGGCTTTTTTATGCAGGTATGTGCATGGTTCTAAAACATGGGTCAAGTTGGGCGGGTTGGGCTATGGCCCATTGTTTAGCTTNGCCCGCCCGCCCCTAGCAATAACCCAGATCCCTGTATAATATCTGCCTAGCTTCTCTGAGGGTCACCAATATTATATTACAATTTACTGGTAAATGAATGATTCTCACAGCAGTACAAGAGAGATGTGTAATCGATGTTAGTTTTGTTGAAGGCTGCTGCATTGTGCTAAGTTTCTAATTAAAATGCAATGACTAGTTTTCTTATACTTAATTTCTAAATTCTCCTCCCCAAGCGCAATTTTAATAATCCATGGATTTCCTCAATATTTAATATATCACTCTAGAGACGCTAAGGCACGCCCAGACGGCCAGACCCTACTTGTGGGATTATACTGGGTTGTTGTTGTTGTAGAGATGCTAAGGCACATTTCTTGTCCATTTTAACCCCTCCATATCAACAGATTAAGCTCACTCATTAATATTTTCTTTACGTCGTGCTTAAGCATTCCCTTTGATTTGATACCTGTTTTATGATATCTAGTACTATTTCAGAAGCCCTTAGTTGCAATTTTTTCTTGGGTTACGACAGATGGAGTAATGTCAGTCGAATGGTCTGCTTCTAGTGAGTGGGTTTTGGTAACAGGGGGATGCGATGGTGCCATTCGCTTTTGGGACATCAGGCGTGCAGGATGCTTTCGTGTTTTAGATCAGTCCCATTCTCAGCTTGGAAGACGCCCCACTCTACTTACACGTTCTGTTACAAACAAGGTTCCCTTCTTTTATTATGTATTTTTCAGAATCATCGAATTTGGAACTCTAATAGCTAGATATTGCTCTTTTATTTCTCTTAAAATTTAGAGGAATAATTGTTTTTCGTTTCATTTATGATAACAAGTTGTTTATGTTCCTCTCTTTTGTATTGATGCATTAAAATCTACTCCCTCTTTCCCAATTTATGTGACTTACTTTACTTTTAAATATGTTCCAAAAAAGAATGTCATACTTCCTTTTTTAGAAACAATTTAACCTAAATTTTGCAATTTTTATTTTACCTTTAATGAGATGATTTATAGCCACATAATTGTCTATGACTTGTTTTAGACAACAAGCTTCAAAAGTCTGTCTTTTCTTAAACTCCGTTCCAGGTCAAACACCGCCACATAAGTTGGGGCAGGAGGAGTAGTTATCTAGTTGGTCAAATACATAGATAGCCCCCAGAACTTGTCCGAATATTTCATATAGCCACCTAAACTAAGCCTATGACCATCTGAACATTTAATCTATCTACGACCATCTGAACATTTAGTCTATGCTCAATCTGTATCAATTAAGCACACCTTGATGACATGGAAAGTCGCGCGTCTGCCACTCAAATGTGAGCGCATAATTATGAAGGAAAAAAAAAAAGTTTTGCCAGAAAATCAATTCCAGCAAATGGAGATTGGCAGAAAGTTCTATTTTGACTATGTTTTTCCAGTCTGCTTCTTCTTGATAAGAAGCCTGCAGATATGAATAAATGTTCTTCTTCTCCATGAAAGTTCTATAAACATATCAGCCCCACCCAATAGCTTCTAAGGAAGACTTCAGAGCCAATGCCGGCGACCCTCCATACTTTCCGGCCATATCTGGGATCGAAATTGACAATCCCTTTCTTCTTCTTGACAGCGACCCGCCAAGTGTCTACCGTGAAGAATGGACTTCCACCATTGTCGATGGCGACCCACCATATTTCCCCACCATCAGTGACGAACTGGCTCCCTCCCCTTTCCTCTTATACAATTCTCTCTCCTTTTACTCCCCAAATTTTTCCAAAAAAGTCTTGAAAACAGATTAATAAATAATAGCCACACAGATCTGAAACCAGACATATTTCACCGGAAAATATTAAAATCCAGCGGATGAAACTTTCAACTTCTCAGTCCGGGTAATGTATCTTAATGCTCCACTTATCTGATATTTTCTTCATCTTCTTCGACATATTTTTTTTCAGACCCAAATCTTAATCTTATTCTCCGTGGTTACCCTTGCCAGGAAAAAATGGTCTTGTCGGAAAGGTGGAGTTTTGTGTGAATTCTTTTCCAGTCAACTCCCCTTTTCCTTTTCTTCTGAATTTTTTTTTTTGACTTTTTTTTCCTTGCTGACCCGTGTTTTTCTCATTGGTTTCATTTTCCCCCTCGCAAGCAAGGGACATTCACGCACTGCACTGGTTTAGAATTGTGAAATGTGTTCAATACACACAATTTAGGCATAGGTCTAGTGTTCAGATGGTCATAGGCTTTAGTTTAGGTGGCTATATGGAATATTCGGACAAGTTCAAGGGGCTGTCTATGTATTTGGCCTATCTAATCCATTTACAGTGTACAACAGTTGTCAGAGACTATAATGCATGACTGTTTATCTAGACTTACCTTTGAATCCTGCAAATGTGTTGCTTTAAGGGAGTTCCTTTCTTGAATAATCAGATTTCTGAGAATAGATAGAGGTGTTTCTCTCTTTCATCATATTGGAACTCATTGGAGAAGAAAAGGGAGTAGATTATAAGTGTGCTTACCTTTTAATGCAACTTATTTGCTTTTTCCTTCTGATAGATCAAAAACCACACTGTTATCCTCTTGGTTTACAAGTGAGTCTTTGCTTTTGACCCATCTTCTTTTGCGTCAATGAACCTTCCTTATGTCTAATTAATGGGAGTTCATCTATGGAAAAGCTTAATTGGGATGGAATTGCTGCTTTGGTTAGAGTTCAAGGTTTCCTAGTTTTCGTGCCCATAATATATTCTATCTTCCTGCCCAGAGTTCCACGCTAAAATCATCTTCAGTAGGCCCAAGTTCATCTGCAAAAGGCCGGCCATCTCATAAGAAAATGGGGAATGGTATGAGTATCAAACAGTCTGCAATAGCTAGACAAGTGAGGGGAGCTGGAAAACAGAGACTACATCCAGGGATGCTGTCTAGTCAGGATAGAGCCACTGCTCATTATGGTGCTGTCAACGGACTAAAAGTTACCAATGATGGAATGTATCTTCTTAGTGCAGGTTGACATTGCAATTTTTTTTGAAAGACCCTAGTTTCCTCCTCCAGCTTTATATTGCTACTATTTGATATTTGTGTATGCATTGTGATTAGTATACTCCACTTAAAGAGGCTGAGAAGGTCTTGTGTCATTTTTTTCTTAGATATATGTTGACAATGTGCGCTCTGGCCCATATAACTCTGTCTTTGTATAGTTGGTCAGCTCTGGAGTGCGACTTCTGGAATTTATACAGCATGTTATGGTGCTTTCTAATTACATTTTGATATGCTTCTCTAGCATATCTCTAGCAAAATTGTAAATTTTTGGGGCACTCTTTCTAAGATACGTCATTTGAAACACTCTTGGATAAAAATTTTAAAAAATATAATATCAATTGTAAGACATTTATGTTGCAGGAGCCTGGATTTTTTTTCTTAATCTAGTTTAGAGTGGTATGACGACATTACTAGTGTGAGGCTGGACTTATTCAGTGAGAATAGCTGAACTGTAAAGGGATAACTTGTTTGTGTAGAAACCAAAACAGATCATTCAGCCATTTTGAAGTTCATTTAGTTATTTACTTGAGTAAAATGCAATTAGTTCCAATAAGCCATTTTCAGGCTACTACTATCTATTGGTTGGCGTCCCTTAGCCATCATTAGCTTACCCTCTCAAAAGAAAGCTTGCTTCCATTTGCTGTTGGTGTGTCATTTAGAAGTACTGGACGTGATGTTGGTACAGTTACTGTTTCCAATGTGATTAAGGTATCTCATCCGTAGTTTAGTGCTTTTAGCTACATGCTGAAGAAATACATAAAGCTTAATCATCTATTCCTTTGCATTTCAGGTTCTGATTCTAGGTTAAGGTTATGGGATATCGAATCTGGTTGCAATACACTTGTAAACTTTGAAACATCACGACTACAGGCCACCAAAGCTATACAATTAGCCATCTCTCATGATTCAAAACTTGTATTTGCGCCGTGTATGTCAACAACTAAGGTACACAACGTTTCACAACCCCCCAACCTCCCCGTTTGATATCATTATATGGAATTGTTTTTATTTAGTAACTTAACGAGGAAATCTTGTAGGCATTTGATTTGTGGTCGGGCAAGACGATGATGGATTTACGTGGACACTATGAAAATGTGAACTGTTGTCTGTACAGTGCACTGGACCAGGTACAATCATTTTTGTTCCTCTCTCCCTAAGGTTCATGTTTCTGGCAAGGCAATGAATTCTGCATAAGCTGTGAGGTTCTGAACCTTAAGTATTTGAGTAGTAACTTATTGTGATTGACCAAAATAGTGCATTCATTGCATATGGAAGGGGTCGGTCTGGAAAACATTAATCAAGTGGGTGACTCACCCCACGACTAGCTAATAAGTTACTCTAATCATGGTTATCAAACAGAAAAAAAATCAGTTACCCTAGTCATGTATACACCGGTTTTTTGTACACCAGAAACAGAAAGTACATGAAACACCAAAGATCTCATAACAAGGAACTATCGACCTCATTCAAATGTTTCCCATCAAGGTAAAAGCTTGATAAAAATGCTATCTTTTGGTAAGGCATTAATTCTTATGGTTGGTCATATCCTTTTGTTTTTATCTCATTGTAGATGACAATGGAGTTCAAGTGTTTTCTTTAATTCCAACTACCCTAGCCATCACTTCTTTTGTCCCGAGGACTGATAAACGGCTTTTGGTCATTCTTGATACTGTTACGTCAAAGTTGGCCATTAATTTGAATTTGGTTATGTTCAGGAACTATACACGGGTGGAAATGATCGGAAAATTCTCGTGTGGTCTTCAAGCAAAGTCGCTACTGAAGAATTGGTATGCCTTCTAGACCATAAACTTTTTGTTCATTTGCTAGACACCCCAAGTATGTTTGTGTTGAGGGTGTATGTACGTAGGTTGCATAAGACCTTACAGTATCTGGGTTGTTATGCAGGAGGGCAGGGACGGGCAAGCTTTTGCGATCGATCAAGATAATTGGAGTGACTGAATACCTCACAAAAGCTTGGAGGTTCCATGTCAAGTTTATAGTTTTCTTCGTTCTTTTAGAACATTCTCTATTAACATCTTCCCGCTGTCCTTTGCTTGAAGAAAGATGTAATAAGTCAGAACATGTGTGTTTCTAGTTGAATGTATTAATCCAAAACAGAACAAACGCTCTGTTTGTCGAATCATGCGGAATGGTTCTCCTAAAAGATAAGTTTTGCTGTTATTCAGAAATTTCGAGAAATTCTTTCGCCTTCTGCTGAACATGTTAAGAGATAAATAGGACTATGCTTTCTCATCCTAATTTTATAGGAAGATGTTATCAAGCAAGAATTCTTTTAACATTCTTAAAAAAGAAGAGACCAGTTGGCTCCAGATTTTTCTAGACGAACTTTCAAAAATCATTATTGTTTAGTAACTATTAACTTCTTATAACTATTATATATATAATTACTTCCTACAGTTACTATTCAGTTGTTACGATAGTGTATTTGTTGTATTTGTATTACTGTATTCTGAATACAGCAGTAAAAAGCGCCTAAAATCAGGGCATTCTAGTTGTAGGCGCATATATTCACATGTATTCGCCTATGTATTCATGAATACAATAACGATAATTACCTTTAAAATAAATATGTCCAGCTGTTTAATAATGGAAACAATATCAATTAGTGTGATATACTCCTAATATAATTTGGTAAAATCAAATCTAACATGCCTCATTATCAACCCATTTAATTAGAATAATTTTTCGGTTGTATATAATTGTTCTATTTAACTTTTGTATTTAGTGTCTTTCAATATTTTTTTTACTGTTGCATTCATTAGATTCAATGTTTGTATTTACTGTATTCACTGTTTTATATTCAGTGTATTCTAATGTATTTGTATTAACAATATTTTAGTTATTCATAATACATGTTATTACTGCTGTATTCAGTATATTTCATTGGTTGTATTCATTGTATTTATATTTGTATTCAGTGTATTTTACTATATTTTATTGTATTTTAAAATTAGATATATTCACTGTTTATATTCTGTTCTATTTTAATGTTTGTATTCAGTGTATTTTACTATATTTTATTGTATTTTAAAATTAGATATATTCACTGTTTATATTCTGTTCTATTTTAATGTTTGTATTCAGTGTATTTTACTATATTTTATTGTATTTTAAAATTAGATATATTCACTGTTTATATTCTGTTCTATTTTAATGTTTGTATTCAGTGTATTTCAATGTTTATATCTTGTATTCACGCATGAATACATGTGTATTCAGCTGTATTAAAAAAATACAAACCTTCGAGATACATAAATACATGCAAAAAATAATATATTTATACAAAAATACAATGTATTTGAGTGAATTTGTACAGAACATAATGTATTTGTATCATTGTATGTGACTAAAACTGGAAAATCTCGGCGCTTCTGAAACATAAAAACTGAAATTTTCTCTTGGAGTCATCGAAAATCCCTCAAAAGCTCAATCTAGATGTGGTCCACTCCATGCTTGATCGAAACAAATTGGTTGTTAAACCAAAACGCCTGCTTGACTTCCTCGACTGGTAAAAATCATTAATTGGGCGTGACTCAACGCATCAATCCTTTCTCTATTCTTGTTTTGACTTTATGCAATTCAAAAATATTGCAGCATCCGTGTAGAGGAATCTATTGCAATATCCGGCGTAGAAGAAAGCGGCAGTCTCTTTTTTTCTAATATTGCAGTACAAATCCATTGCAAATATCCGGGGTAGAAACTAAGCAGTACAAATTCATTGCAATATCTGGCGTACTCGAAGAGAGAGAAAAGGAAGAGAGAGAGAGAAAGAAGAAAAATTTTGTTGGGATTTTGAGAGAGAATCGTGTGTTAATTGAAAAAAAAAAGAGAAAAAAAACATAAATAGCATATTTCACTCTTTAATTGTAGTATATACTATAAATATCTATTTTGTTATAAAATATAAAAGGTAGCTATAAAAAATAATATTTTAAAATGGTTTTGGTTTATAATAAATAGGATAGTATAACTTTGTTATAGGAGATAAAATTTCCATTTTTCTGTATTGTAGTACTAATACGATATGTCAATTGTATTGGTATACCAAAAACTGAAGATATTAATTGAATTCTTCTTGAATGCTAAGGATATACTCGGTCTAAATCAAGAATGTACTTGGCTGCACATATGATATGTGACGAATAAAAATGTCAGCTTTCTTAGTTGCAATTAACAAATCGATCTTCTATATTTTTTATCCATAGAAATAACATCAGAAGTGTCCCCACAGTTTATGGTTCAATAAGAAGCTTTGATTTGATAAAGCCAGTACGTCTAATTTAGAAAGATTAATATTACTCTTGTTTATTGTCGCTACGATAAAATAATGGCTACTTGGCCACTTCTTTTTTCTTTTCCCTTTTTCCGTCTTTTATGTTTTTTTATAATGGTCTAATCTAAAGATTAACTAAGTTACTCCGTATCAATTACTGAAGGCTTCAAAATGTAAATCATAATCAGCTTGTTGGTGCTATCCACGTGTCATTTTGTAGTAATGCGTGACGTGGTCCACACCAAAAATTAGTTCTTATAACTTTGGGTTTGAGCCACTAACTTCCTCCCATACTGCTCGTTGACTGAAATAATGTCCTCTATTTTAATTGAAAATGTGACATGGGAAGTCATGGGCTTTAGCTATTATTAAATAAATAAACTTTTATTACTCTCTCCGTCTCATAATATGTGTCGTGATTCTCTTGTGCGCGTCCCTTAAGAAAGAATAGTTTTTGACTACTTTATCCTTATTAAATGTTTTCTTAATTTATGTATCATCTCTATCAATGACATTATCCTATTTTTACTAAATGTGAATGCAATTGATTATTAAGAGTAAAAAAAGAAAAAAATATAATCTATTTGGTCTTGAACTTCTAAAATGACAAATAATGTAAGACAACTATTTTTATTAACCATGATACATATTATGAGACGACTAAATGTGAATGCAATTGATTATTAAGAGTAAAAAAAGAAAAAAATATAATCTATTTGGTCTTGAACTTCTAAAATGACAAATAATTTAAGACAACTATTTTTATTAATCATGATACATATTATGAGACGGAGGAAGGATATTATTCGGATTCAATTTCCAGTCGAGTGTTAGTAGACTTGGTGAGTTTCCTTGTCTTTCACATTTGAAGGGGAGGATTCAGATCTCATTAGTAAGCTACTAAGCTTAGCATTTCTTTTCTCACTCCTCACTCTTGATGTAATTAAAAAAAAGCTCCAATCAGTAACATTAGCATCCTCTTCGACGACCAAAAAAAAAGCATCCTCTTCACATTTGTATTCGCAGAGGCGGACATATCTTATACAATAAGGGGTCGCCTGCACCCGCAAAGTTCGATAAAAATTTTGTATATACATATGTATGTCGTTATATTTCTACTTCTTCGAGGTAGGGGTAAGGTCTGCGTACACACAACCCTCTCCAGACTCCACTAATGGAATTTTACTGGGTTGTTGTTATTATTGTTGTTGTTATGTCGTTAAAAAATAGTAATATATTAGTAGTGACACTTTATATACAAAACAAATTTTAATTGAATGCAAACGTACGCTATCTCTAAATCTTGGATTCGCCTCAGTGTATTCGGATTTGCTTGTTTAGCATAGGCAAGGGGCTTTTTTCATCAAAGGGCAGTTCACTACACTAGAATATATTAAGGAGCGAAGGACAGGGTTTTGCGCCGGGGGTGAGGGGTGGGCGGTGATCGGAGATCCTTAACCTCTTATACATTTTATATGTTAGGTGTACATTTTTTTATTATTACTTTCTCTAAAAGAAATATCATCATGTCCATTTAAGCAGGAAAAAAGTACTGCACTAAATTATCTCTTCTGTGCTAACCTATTTGATTTATTGTGTTATATTTACTAAATTAAATAGCTAACATTTTAAACTCTTAAAAAATACAAAAGTTGTAGCTTTTCAAATTTTTGTCTCAAAATGATCAAGAATAAATTCTAAATTATTATTTAAAGTTATGATCAAGAATAAATTCTAAATTATTATTTAAAGTTTAAGTAGTTTAATTTTGAAAAGCACAATGACAAAAGGGAAGAAGGAGGTGGGGTGGGTGGAGGCGGTTAGTCTCAGGCTGAAATTTTAGAGGAAACAAAAATGCCAGGTAAATACTTCTCATCTGTCAAAGCGTCTTAAAGAATAGAGTTACTCAATACATATGATAATAAAATTAACCCATTATAATTAGTTGAGATATGGAAAAACTAGTACTACATTACAATTATATAAAAAAATAATAAACAATATTATAAGTTAAAAAGGACAAGATGCATGTAAGTACTTGTACCATAACTTCCGTTTGTTATCAAACTCCTAGGTTCTTTGCAAACAATTCAAGAAGTCTTATTTTGTGTCTCATACAACTTACATTAATTGTATGAGGGTTTTTTTTGTCTCACAAATTTGTAGACCCCAATCTTACACTTCTGAATCTATAGAAATCTGGATCCACAAAATAATGAAACAAAAAAGTTACCTCACACAACTAGTGTCCGTTGTATGAGATACAAAATAAAATTTTCATCACAATTCGATGCGAAAGCATGGACAATAAGCATCTCTCGAAACCTGGTAATATAAAATTTATAGTCGTACGCAATATCTCACTTCATACTTCGTAATACTGCATGAACCTGATTTAAAAAAAAATATTTGACACACGGACTGAGACATGGAATGCTTGAAGAGTTACACGCTTGGATAATGTACCAATTGAAATTTAATATCTCTGTCACATACAACAAAACTAATGAAGAAAGAAAGGACAACTAATCTCTTGATTAATGTACCATCATTTTCGAAGTCCAATATGAGCGGAAACTACTAGGAAAGAAATTTGACAACTGCTTCTTTCGTCTCGTATTATTTGTCATGTTTCTCTTTTACACGCTATTTAAAAAAATAATAAATAGAAAATATTTTAACTATTTTACCCTTATTTATATCTTAAAATATAATTTCTCTTCATTTATTACTTACTCATAATTAAGGTGTTTGTAGTCTTCAAGAACAATTAATATTAAGGGTAGAATAGGAAAAAAATAACTAATTTACTCTTGAACTTCTAAAATGACAAATAATTTGAGACAATTATTTTTAAAAATCACGACACTTAATATGAGACGGATGGGGTATATAATAACAATAA